ACTTGAATATATATATATATATATTATATAATTGTTATTATTTATATAATTATAAGTTTTAGTCTAATAACCCTCAAATTATGTTTATGCTCAACCTGTTTCTAAAATAGTGACATTACTATTATGCAGATTTTACATAAGTTGGTGTTCCATAGAGCAAGGTGTGGAAAGACATCCTCGCTTACCTCCAGCTCTCCCTCTACCTGGAAACAAATCTGTATCTGGACATTGTGTAGTAGTAGAGGACATATGCTACTACTAGTGACCAAAAGATATTACTGGGATGTAATGCCTCACAACTCCCACCCCCGCCCCTCAGAACTTTCATTTCTTCTCTGCTACTGCTACAGAACCCATCCTGCCTCCAAATTTTAAAACACACACTGCTGCTCTCCTCCCACTTTAAAAAAAAATGCTGGATCAGCCCCCAATTTCAAATTTAATAGAAAACAATCTCTAGCTTTACGACGTTTCTTTCCGGCGGGTGAAAATGCACCTTGAGAGACTTTAATGAAAATTACAGAAGCTGATCCTACTAATACACTTAAATATTTTTTAATCGTAAAATACACTGACAGGGATGTAATTTTAAAATAAAATAATATTGTAAAGAATTTACTATTTGATACATTGAAAATATATACTCTAGATCTTTTTGTTCAAATGTGCAAAAACCTTAATAAATTAATGGAAATACTGTAAATGACAAAATAAGTTAACAAGCAATTCAATTGTGTATATCAAACTAACAATGAATAACAACATGGCAGTTGCTGTGGTAGTAGCAGTAGATAGAGTTACATAGAACACAGTAACAAATGATATAATATTATATATTATATATATATAAATTTATATGATCATTGTGTTTGATATACAAATATAAAACATAAATATCAATACACTACACGATCATCTTATCTACCCGAAAGAATAGATCGATGTCAGTGAAGATTGTGCTGTAGAGATTGGATGCCTGAACTGTGATTCAGCATACATCGGTGAAACTAGCAGGAAATTGAATTGAAGTCATCCTCTCATAGCAATGGTAATAATTTATTTCTTCAAATGTGTTCATTTAATTTCTTTAGTTCAAATTAAGGATTATAATAAATTTAGGAATATAAAACATTTTTTCAATTGTTTATTAGGGAAAATTCACACACAATGCAAATTTTCAGATTGATATCCTTACTGAACTGATACAAAAAATGGGATCAGTATATAAGAATATGAACGCTGGTGTTCAGCACATCGGAAACACGGTCCAAACTTTGGATGTAATGTGAATGCAGCTTTATCCTTATTGAATAAAATACTATCAATAACTTCATATGAGTGCTTTAAAAATGTTAAATTCCTTTGATTGGTTAATTTTTTAGAATACTATATAGGAGGCAAAAATAAAATTAAGTGAGTACTCAATAGAGTGCATACCAATGTCAGACCACTTTTTAAAAATATTTTTTTAACTGTCTGTAATAGAGTACTACAGTGTCACGTCACGATACCATGTGATACTACTCGTAGCTATCACTGCAAAATGCATTCAATCCGACAGCATTTTCGCCACTAACAAACCACTGATCCCAATTTCTAATGTAATTAAGATGTTGTATCTTACTTTTTCTTTGTAAATTTTAAATGATGATTAAATGTGTGTTCGATAACTAATATAATGCGAGCTTTTGTGTTTTAAGTACATTTTGTTGGTAAAATTTATGGTAAAATATTAGATTTTAAAATGCCTATTCCAGAAAGCCTATGCAGTGATTCAGGCGTAATGAACGGCAACCTACATCTGTTGACAAAAGAGAGCGCCACCTGGCGTCATGACGACACGACTGTGGTATTTTATACTCTGGTCTTGACCAAAATGTCTATAAATTACTTTAGGAGAGTGAAATGTTAAAAGCAGTTATCCAGGATGACACTTTCATTGAAGATTTATAGATCCAAGTTATAGATGTTCTTAAATGGCCGCCAAATACTGTAAACTTTAAATATACAGTGAGGCTTACTATCCCAACACAAGCGTACATTCGCTAAATGTTAAACTGAGAAACTAGCATAAGAACGTAGCAGCATATATTATATATATCTACGCAAGAACAGTATACTCTAAAATTAAGATGGTCAAATTAGGTCTGCAAGAGCTAAGACAAGACACATTCCATACGACTTATTATAATGAAAAATAAAATAGGTTACTTAGTTATATGAAATTAATTGCCACTATTGCCATTAATGTTTGTTCTGTCTTTGTGTTCACACACACACTCATTTGAACTAGTATACTTTAGCCACGCTTGTCATTCTAATAGAAAAATAATTTTAATCAAATTGGCTTAAATTCTTTGTTCTTACCCTTTTCTTTCAGAATACGGAGTGCAGCTTTGTATTCATTTTCATCAATGTATGTCATCCATTCATCCAAGAACTCCTGCTGATGTTTTTCTGGCACTAATATTCCTGTTAAATCCTTGATGAGCTTCCCACTAGAATGTATTTCCCATAGATTCAACAAAGCATTAGGATCATGTGTTGATAGATGAAACACAATACATCCTACTTCTACTTCGTCTAACTTTAAACCAAGACCTTTATAAAACTGGACAATGCTCCTTAGTCCAGCAAAACACTCTGGCAAATGAATACAACGTAGATGGCTTTTATGTTTATCAAATTCTTTTAACAAATTAAGAACATATTCTGGATGTGGTCGATAATCCTTCTTTTTGCGCTTAAGTGTACATTTCACACCTATAAATAGAAGATTAAACAAAAACTGAATCAGTCAAAGAACATAAAACAATCCTATAGACAATTGTGAGATTTTCTCATATATCAAGTTAAGAAATAGTTTATCTAGGTAACCAATCCCAGTCTGGGCAGTTGAGGCTATGTCAAATTCTGGCCGGCAGTCTGGAATCGGTCCGGCTAGTGATTGATGGGCTTGCCTTGCAAGGCCTCAGTATGATGCTAGAGGCCTTGTTTGACTGAGCCAGCTCGAGCGGATCAACCGATGCCAGAGTGTGGGGGGAAATAATAAAATATGAAAAGAAAAAATAGTATTCTATAAATCACAATTCTACATAATTTAAACACTAGTAAAGGCTTAAATGAGAATAATGATAACTAATAACTTGATCCATTTTTGTATTTTCCAATGAATAAAATTATAAGTTTTAGTCTAATAATCCTCAAAATTTGTTATGCTCTCTGCTATACTTCACTGCTAAGTCACTGCTGAGTACGTAAATAAAATTTGTCCAGACCCCCCCAAATCTTAAAATACATGCTGCCGCTCTCCTCCCACTTTAAAAAAATGCTGGATCAGCCCCTGAATTAGAACAATATACAATACTGGATGCAAGTTCAAATTGAAGATTTTCTGGGACTATTATTGCTCCAAAATCATTGATGAGTTCCCCACTTGAATGTATTTCCCATAAATTCATCAATGCATATGGATCATAAACATAAAGATGAAATACAATAGATCCTTCTGATATTCCATCTATAAATAACTTTAGACTTTTGAGGTAATCATAAATATGTTTAAATTTTGTAGAAAATGCTTTAAAATCCTTTGCTTTCAACATTTCAATATTTTCATGGAGTTCATTAACCATATCCAGGGGAGTCTTTTGACCTGGTTGGTATACTATTTCAGGATCAGGTTGATCTATTTGCTGGCGTTTCAATCCCAAAGTGACTATGAATAAATAATATAGAAAAAAATATGCTCAATATTTTGATGTAAATAAGCACATAAAATATCATTGTTCATTTACTGTTCAGTTCTGTCACAGTTTACAATAATAATAATAATTTTGGCTTATATAGCGCATTATGCTAAAGCTTCAATGTGCTTAACAATAAAAATTAAAATGCTAGGAAAAATTTAAGAAAAGTACACGTTAAAAAGGTGAGTTATTAAAGCTGCCTTAAAATCAAAAATGGAAGTTGCCTGTCAGATTGTAATAGGCAAAGCATTCTAATGAAAGACAGAAACCCAAGAAAAAGAACGATTGCTATAATGCTTTGTTGATGGGCGAATAATAGAACGTTTATTACATCTTATAATGACATTACAGAATAAAACATAAAATAAATATTAAGGAAACATGGTAAATAGAAGGTATCCAAAGCAAGCTTTGAACAAAATCACATAAAAAAGTATACATAAAAATAACTAATTCATTCAATCTCATGACAATAACTTATCTAGTAATAACTAGTATAGATTAATACCTTCTCAATTGATAATTAAACATGTCAGCGATTTATCTGTATATTATATTTTCAATTATTATTTTTTCTTTTTTTACTTTAATCTGCAAATAAAACAAATAATGAATTAGAGTTTATAATAGTACCCTTGGTATGGAGAAACACCTCAAGTGATAATTAAAGATGTTTTCGATACCAAGGGTAATATCATAACCTTTAATTCATTTATTTGTTTTTTTATATTATATTTTCAAATTATCTAAATTTGTTTTCTTGATTTATGATCTATCATAGATTAGCCGTAAGTCCTTTAATATTGTTTTTTCTCATGAAAGAAATTAAGTATGGGATGCCAATTAACTTTGGTATGGTGCACACCAAGTGCAATAAAAAAGTTTATGGTCTGGAACCCAGGATCTATTACTGTAATTTGCTATTAAAGGTTGATGTAATTTTCTTTTCAATGGGCATGATTCTTTTAGATGGCTTACCAGTCTCTGTACACAATTTTTGTTCTGAGATGTTAAATACTAGATTGATTAAATATTAAAATTTTAATGAGATAATTGCTTCATGTGTATTTCAGGCTAAATTAATTAAATAAACAGTTCAAAATTAGGTTAATTTAAGCCCATATTAAATGTATAATTTAAAATTTTATGAAGGAAAAGATATAGTTTTATCTTTCTAGGCCCCATCTTAATAGTCTCTGTATGAAGTGATCATAGGACATAATTTTTGAAGCCTAAGAATGCCATATAAAGTCTGTCTTAAACGTAATTTGGATGAATGCCATTTTAAATATGGAAATTAGGCGGATCTACCGAGTTCTCTTAATCAGTGAGTTAAAAATACCAAAAATCAGCTGGATCTTAGCTTCTAAGGCAAAATGCCAATTGCATCATAATTTTCTTTGGTTCAGGAACCAGATAAAAGACTTTATTTCATCTGCTCAAGTTGCTAATTATACAATAATAATTGTTGTGGAAAGCCCTTATTTTTTAAATGTATGATTTACAGGAAAACCATGTATTACTATACCTTTACCAGGTCTTTGTCCATGTGTGTGAAGTGCACTTTGAAAGCCTGTTATAAAAGTTACAGAGGTTTAGCATTTATAATACAGTGAAATCATTTTAAATGGTAATCATGACATGGTATATAAATAGATGCATACAAGTTTGGTAATAATGGTGTGATTTAAGTAAGCCTTGGATGAAAGGTACTAACATTGTTGCAAACTTCTGCTAATCCATTTTTGGACCAGAATAACTGAATGTACCACAGGTTTAGCAAGAATAAAATGAAATAGGCTGTCCAAAATATCCTTTTAGAATACAGAAATTTGAATCTATAGATTCAAATTCTCTGCTACGTCACTGCTGAATACGTAAATAAAATTTGTCCAGAACCCCCCTCCAAATTTTAAAACACACGCAGCTGCCCTCCTCCCACTTTAAAAAACACTGGATCCGCCCCTGAATTAGACCAATATACTATAGTGGATGCAAGTTCAAATTTAATAGAAAACAATCTCTACCTTTACGACGTTTCTTTCCGACATGTGAAGATGCAGCTTGAGAGACTGTAATGAAAATACAAAAGCTGAGCCTAGTAATACACTTGAATATTTTTCAATAGTAAATTACACTGACAGGGGTGTCATTTTGAAACAAAATAATATTGTAAAGAATTTGCTGAAAGTAGACAGGCCCAACTAGGCTAGGCCGAGCTTAGTAGGCCAAGCTGTCCAAGCCGTCACGGTAAAAGTGGCAGTCCTAAATAATTGTTGGCCGTCGGACAGCTCGCTGGCTAAGCCCTTGATGTACAGTGAAATATATGCAAACTTTTTGAATATTATAATACATTGAGATACATACTGGTAGTGACTGTATCTTTTGTAGAAAAGTAACAAATTTAACAATCTGCAAATACAGTACCTCTGTTTATTGGATACATGTAAAATTTTGTCAAAATTTAGATTAATATTCAATACTAAAACTGATTCAATTACTAAATAAAAACAATGTTTTGCTTTACCTTTATGAGGTTTCTTACTTGTGTATGAAGATGCACTTTGAGAGACTGTAAGTAAAATTAATTAATTGCGTTTAATATAATTTAGATTAGATTTCAGAAAATACAAATTTTAATATTTACCCACATGAAGTCAAAAAGTAATTGTAGGCTAACAGGATGAAAACAATTTTTTACGTAAAACCCATACTGCCACAAGCCGAAGCAATCTTGATTACGCAGCGTGTATCGCGGCAACCATGCAGCTATTTTTTTGTTGTATATTTATAAGTTTTTCTATTCGACTGGTTGTCTTCGTTAAGTAGGATTTTACCACTTCGTAGGTGGGCGTGGTTTAACTAAGAACGACCAGTGGCAGACCTTTGTTAGAATATTGCTCATGTTTGCACAGTTCTATCACTAAACACCAATGTCTGAAAATTGAACATGTCCAAAAAAGGGCCTGTCAAATTTTTCTAGGTCAATGTTACCATTCTTATAGTAGATCTCTACTGGCTCATATTTTTAACACCTTCGAATCAAGAAGAGAAGTATTACTACTGAAATATGATTTAAAAATTTTGAAACCACATAGGCATAGGTATATACTACCCCCAAATGTTACTTGTACTAGAACCTTAAGGAAAAGCAATACCTCGTTACTTATTGAGCCAAGATGTCCCACAGGGAGACTACAAAAATTAACAATACCTAGTACTTAGCATAACTCACCTTTTGAATACCAGCTTTCAGAGTGGACAAAACTAAATTGTTCCTCCCTCTTGTATTTTGGTTAAATTGTTTATTCTTTTATTTCTTTTTTAGTTTAATAGGTTTTTTTGTGTGTGCATTTAAATGATAAAATTTTAAAATATGTTTTTAATTCCTACTGTAAAAACCTAATTATTTGTAAAATTAAAATAATAATTAATCGATAACTGCGATATTCCGACAATTTAAATAAATTAATAAAAGTGATAATGTATAAGAATACCAATAAGGAGAAATGTGCAATATATTACTATGCAACCATAATTTAAACACTAGTAAAGTCTTAAATGAGAATAATGATAAATAATAATTTGATCTATTTTTGTATTTTCCAATGAATAAAATTATAAATTTATAAGTTTTAGTCTAATAACCCTTAAATTTATTTATGCTCTCCCTCTTTCTAAAACAGGGACATTTGGTACTATTATGCAGATTTTACATTATAAGTTGGTGTTCCATAGAGCGAGGTGTGGAGAGACACCTTGCCTACCTCCAGCTCTCCCTCTACCTGGAAACAAATCTGTATCTACCCATTGTCTAGTGCTATGGGACGTATGCTACGACAAATGATATTACTGAGGTGTAATGCCTCACAACTCCCACCCCCACCCCTTTAGAAACTTACTTCCATTTCTTCTCTGCTACATCACTGCTGAGTATGTAAATAAAATTTGTCCATAACACCCCCCCCCCACCTCCAAATTTCAAAACACATGCTGCCACCCTCCTCCCAGTTTTAAAAAAATGCTGATTCAGCCTCTGAATTAGACCAATATACAATACTGAATGTAAGTTCAAATTTAATAGAAAACAATCTCTACCTTTACGACGTTTCTTTCTGGTGTGTGAAGATGCAACTTGAGAGACTGTAATGAAAATTACAGAAGCTGATCCTAGTAATACACTTATATATTTTTTAGTAGTAAAATACACTGACAGGGGTGTCATTTTGAAATAAAATAATATTGTAAAGAATTTACTATTTGATACATTGTAACTCTAGAGCAATAGAAGTCACAAAAATATTCATGAAAAAGAATTAGAATTCTCATGGGGAAAATACAAGTGAATGAAACAGGATGAATGTATACATTTAATAATTTTTGTTTACTTATTTTATTTTATTATTTGTTACCCCAGGGCCCTCCCGTGCCCGGACTCCAGGGCATTCTCCCTGGTTACCCAGCTTAGGTCCAGAAGAATGCTGTTTATAATGCAATTTTGGTGGTAAAAGCTAGTCTTAGGAGGGAATTTCCCCATGTTTTAGGCTTCATACACAGTACAGCATGTCATTGTATTCTATCAAGTGTGGTCATTCAAAAATGATGTGAGTGGAGTGAAAAGAATACAAATATTTCCAGCTCATTACTTACATTGAAAAGTTAACACAATGAGTAATAAAGTTATTAAATTTATTAATATTTATTTTAAAACAGCAAAATTATATTACGAAAGTCAAACCAAGTCAAACCTGCTCCGAGGTTCAATTTTGAGTTGTAACTGTTTACACAAGAATATGTGCAAACCAATTTGGGGATTTCCCATGTGCGTTGATTTGTCCAGCAGTCGGGGATCTGTGTTGTTCAATAATGGCTTTTAAAAGAATAGGAAAGGCGGGTGTGGAAACGAACAGATGTACGGATGAATGAATGAATGAATTAATTAACTTGTTTGCCCAGCAGTACCCCAACCAGGAGTTTTTCACAGTGCTTAAGAGCCCACCTTTTTGTTCAAATGTGAAAAAAAATTATAATAAATTAATGGAAATAAATGACAAAATAAGTTACTTTAGAAGTTAACAAGCAATTTAATTGTGTAGTCATAGTCATCGATATGATCTGTCTGTAGTTTCATGCCTTGCATAAAATTTAGTGGGTGTGATATTTCTATTCAGCACCCTGCTTTTCAAAATCCTGGAGACGTCACTGCAGATTAACTACTTACTCTACAATAAAATCTTTGTACAAATAACAATAACATAATAATATAACAAGACACAAATGTAAGCATTATCTTTCCACTTGCTTGTCCTGAGTTTGAAGAATGTCTGAAGTCATAATAAAATACAATACAATATTTAATATCAACTATTCTAAATCTTGCAAACAGAAAAAACAATTACACAAAAGCAACATTATACAAGCTTTCAAGATGAAAATATTTTATGTTGATGTAAATGTTTCACTATAAAAACACTTCAGATATCTGTACAAAGTACAGTATTCTGAATTGAAAAGGAATTTTTTTGTATCTTGAACAATCCCATTGTCAACCATGAATAATAATGGCAGTCGCCACAGTAATGGTAGTAGCATTAAAAGAAAACAACAATGAAAAATCAAATATTACCTTCACTAAATCTATGTCCTGAGATTGAAGGTGCATTTGGAATGTGTATATGAAAGTCAATTAAAAATAAAATATTAAATATTTTTGAAAATTAAACATGAAATAAGAGTTGAGGCCTATGTTGATGCCAGAGGGGGAAGGTCTGATTATATTATTCATTATTCAGGTCTCCCTCCAATTAAAGACCATCTCCAAATAAAGACCACTTTTCTGTGGTCCCAAATTATTTTTATTATTCTAATTAGAGACCAGAGCTGCTAAAAATCATGGAAACCCATCCCCAAAAGTGGTCTTTAATTGGAAGGAGACCTGTGGTATGAATTTCTGAAACAGAAAGCTTTAGTTAGTGGTTCAAATGCTCATGCTTAATAACAGTGACCATGTACTATAAGTAACCCATGCTCTAATTGTAACAACTAAAGAAATGAATAGTAATCCAGGTTTTCATGGTTTTGGTTTAAATACCTCCATGGTTTAATTAAGTATTTTCATAACATTTCAGTTTTCTACAAGAAAGTGAATAGAACATCCAACTGGAATAACACAGGACAAAAATCAAGCTAAAATACAGTGTATGACCATAAAGAAACATGGATATTATGTTCCAATGCTAGCTTTTTACTATCATTTTGTAGACATTCAAATACAACAGAATCTGTACCAAAATATTCTGAATTGTAAAGGGAATTTGTTCACACCATATTCTGCACCATCCAACAGTGTCAATTGTGAATAAATGACCACAATAACCATAACAGCAATAGAACTAGTAACAACAACAGTAATAATAATAATAATAATAATAATAATAATAATAATAATAATAATAATAATAATAATAGAAATTATAATGACAGTGTAATTCAGTACCAGCAGTAGAAGTAGTAGTAGCAAAATCGTAATGATGTAAATTAAATTCATCTGGTTTTAATGTATTGTATTAAAGTACAATTGGTTTACAACGCAATGGCATTACCAATGGGTGTTTTCATGGTGCCCAAGTACCCACCTTTTTATTCAAATGTGAAAAAGATAATAGTCAATTAATAGAAATACATGGCAAGGTAAGTTACTTTAGACGTTAACAACCAACTAAATTGTGTATTCATAGTCATCGAATGCTCTACCCCTAGTTTTGCACCCATAAAGTTCAATGGTTGTACTAAATTGTATTTAGAACCCTGTTTTCAAAATCTTGTTACGCCACTGCCTATGTTACCGTACTGTACAATACAGTTTTTGTACAAATATTAATAACAGCCACAAAAATAACAGACTGGATACCCAGAGAAAGTAAAAGAAGGAGAGGAAGACACAAACAGATGTAGAAAGATGACTTGAAAACATAGAGGAAATATTGGTTTAAAGAAACAGACAGAATGAGGTGGAAGAGTTTAGAGGAGGGGCATGTTCAACAGTGGACTTAAGAACCATGAAGTAAGTAATAAAATAAGACACAAATGTATTAGCCTTATCTTAGCACTTGCTTCTCCTGAGTTTGATGGCGGCTTTGGAATGTCTGAAATATTATTCAATAATTGATTACCAGTCTGTTAAAATAATATATTTATTATTTACCATAACTAACAATTGAACATTTTTACAACGATAAACAACTTGACATGTTTAGACATGGAAGACCTAAACAGTATTGTAAATGCCCAACTTATACGTGATTACTGTATTTTAATACAAATGTAAGCCATATATAACTAAATACAATATTCAACTACTCTAAATCATTTCAAACAAGAAGGAAAAATTACTCAAAGTAGCATTTTACAGTACAAGTAATCTGGATTGGGAAAGCTGATGGCTTCTTAAAATTATTGTTTCACTCTAATAAGAGCACTTTAAATATCTGGAAAATAGTCTGAATTGAAAGGGAATTTTTTCACACCCTATATTAAAGCATCCACAGTGTCAATGACAGTGGTAGTAGCAGCAGTAGTAGTAGATAAAGTCACAGTAGACACAGTAACAAATAACAGGATAATATTATTATTAAAGACACCAATGTAAACATTATTTATCTTACCACTTGCTTGTCCTGGGTTTAAAGATGGCTTTGGAGTTTGAATGTCTGAAACAAAATTAAACAATTAATTACTGGTACAACAAATATCAATTTATTTATTATTTACCATAATAAATAATTTAACTCATAAACTGGTTGTACATTTTTGAGATATTAAGACATGGAAAGCATTTGGAGATGGTAAGACAAGGAAAAGCCATATAAATGCTATTTTATATGATCACTGTGTTTGATATACAAATAGAAATCATAAAACACAGATAAATATCAATAAACTACAAGATCACGTTATCCATCCTACAGAACAAATCGATGCCAGTGAAGAGTGTGATGTAGTTTATGAGATAATTGGATGCCTGAACTGTGATTCAGTCTACATCGGTGAAACTGGCAGGAAATTGGTGAAACTGGCAGGAAATTGAAGACCTGATTGGAAGAACATAAAAAAGATGTCACCAATAACACAACAGGTGTGTGCACTAGAGCATCCAGAAACACTGCAAATGAGCTCATTCACAAATCAGCTACAGTATAACCAGTCACATGGTTAAATACAACCACAGGGGTACCAAGCTAGAAAAAATCCCTTCCATGAGATCTGGTTAAATGAACTTTCTTAACATAATTTTATTTTGCTGTGCATGGTAATACCAATCAGCACTGACGTCCAGGAGATAATTTATAATAAATAGTAAAACATGCAAATATATTAGGAATTTGCGGGAGACTGGTTATTTTCCGAGAGATTCTTCCTTGCGGAAGTGCGGGAGGCCATCCCAATTTCCATGAGACTCTATAAACATACTACCGACTAAAAAAATGCAAAACTCATACAAACAGAATCCATCTAGCAAAACATGAAAAGAGACAATGGATTGTACCCGTTTTTACATGTACAGTATGGCCTAATCCAAACTCCTGAAAAAACCAGACAACTGGCAGAGGGTGCTATTCAAGCCTCAAGCCATGAATTTATTTTGCTGTGAATGGTGATACCAATCAGCACTGACTTCTGTAAGACAATTGATGATAAATAGTAAAACATTCAATAATATTATGAATTTGCAGGTTATTTTCTGAGCGATTCTTGCTTGCGGAAGTGTGGAAGGCCATCCTGATTTATTTGAGACTCTATAACCATACTTCACTACCATCCGAAAAAATGCAAAACCCAATAATAGAGGAGACTATCAGACCATGGAGGAAAAAGTTTAGGTTTTAGCAATATTAGGATTGAAATTGACTATTATCATTCAATGATATACAAAAACACCACTGAATGCAGCAACAAGGAAGAATAACTTTCTAACATTAAATTAGTCAGCAATTCAATACCAAGTTCCATAAAGATGAACTTTCTGACCTGAAATAATTGATTGTCCAAGATAATGACGACAATGTTGGTTAACAATGCTATTGCTATATAAAACCAACAACACCTACCTTATGAAACATTTTTTACAATTATTAGTATATTGCAAACACACTAAATGTGGGTAGCTATTATCTTTAAATATTATGCTTAATAATAATAGTGACCAAGTACTTTATTAGTACTAACGCATGCTCTAATTGTAACATACTGTAAACTAAAATCCAGCAAATAAATAGTAACACAAGGTTCAATTCAGAAGTTTGGATTTAAATTTTAATTTTTATAGTGTTTCAATTTTCTTCAATAAATAATCAATTGCAAACAGAACAACATCCAACTGTGGTTGGTTTGACCATAAAGAAAACACATTTTTTATGTTCCATTATAATGCTAGCTTATCAGTATTTTGTGCAGACATTCCAATTGTATAGCATCTGTACTAAAATATTATAAATTAAAAAGGGAACTTTATTTTTCACTATCACACAGTGTCAATTGTAAATGTAAACAACGAAATTACAGAACTAATGACAAAAAAATCAGTCAGCAATAATAATAATATGGTGATTGTAATAATTCATAATGACAATCTGGTAATACCAGCAATAGAAGTAGTAATAGTAGCACAATTATACCCTATTCAGACTACACTCTGTTGCGATCGGTTGCGATGTAATCGGTGGTAATCCAAAACTGATTACTCCCGATCGCAATCAACGAACGCATTCAGACCAACACAAACAAACTTTACATTCTAGGGCCTAGGCCTCCGGCTGTCTCTTATACACATCTAGATGTGTATAAGAGACAGGCTGAACAGTCGTTGTGATTCGTTGCGATCGGATTCCGTGGTAATCGGGAGTAATAAAGATTGTAGCACCCAATCGCAACGGGTAACAATTGCGATATCGATTACATATCGACTACTATTGGTGAGCTTTCAGACACCATTTTACTTTGCGATTGGGTGTCGCAATTGCTACAACCGATCGCAATGCGATGCTAGTCTGAATGGGGTATTTGTCTTAAAGTAGTTAAAAAAATTCATGTGGTTTAATTTTTAGAAGTATAGTTGCTAAGAGTGTTGTTCTGCCCTAATGGTGCCACTACCGGGTACTTAAATAAAGAAGTTGTAATAACAATAACATAAGGCCAAGAAAAAAAATTGTTTGTTTTGCCCTAATCCACCCGCCCTTAACTCACTGAAAAAATAGGGGTGGAAAAACCAAAAAAGTTGTCCATTATGTATCGGGATGCTCTAAACAAATATAATAATTTCATTTTAAATATCTTTTGCAATGTAAAATATTTATAACTTTAGAATGACAGGATTAGAAAATCATACAGACTTAATGGATTCAGCAAAATATTGAAACCATTTATTTGCAAAAATAAAAATAAATTTGAAAAAATAATACCTTTGATATAATACTGATAATATTTATGTCTCAAGTTCTATTCATGTGTAAATCTGATATAAATTTCACAGTTAACAAGAATTTATACCAATATGATATATATTTTTAGCATGTTATTGATGCTATATTTCTCTGTTACAGTATTATTTTCAGGCAAGTATTTTTCTTTTAATTTAATTTCTTGTTATATCAATTTGTTTAGTCTACTTTACTGCAAAAAGGCTACTGTGAAAATCACTCTATCCTATAGCGTTTCTTCAAAAACATTGACTGATTTTACTACAAAAAACTCAAAACTTAAAGGTCGGATATACTGTATTAGGTTGAAACGGTTTATAGGATGTTAGAAATATAGCTATTGCAAACAATTTACAAAATATTTGTTTTTCAAATATTTGGCCCCCTTCACTTTTGGGCTGAATTACGAAAATATAGGCAATATTAGTGTGTTTTCAGCGGGATTTGAGCTGGCTTATGAGGAGTTGTTCCTTTACCAAGTCTTAACTTTGTCTATACTAATCAGATCGCTTAGGTTGACGTGGCAACAGAAAACAAATTTTCTTGTGATCAGTTACAGTATATATCAGAATTAATGTAATTGGAATAAAATTTTCTTCCAATATTTTTAAGTTTTATCAAAGGCATTCAAGAATAAAAATTGCCCGGGCTCACAGCAGGCCACAGGAATTGGCATGTTCCATTTTCTGAAATGAGGAATGTTATCAGCTGTATCAAAGACTTTTAAAAAATTAGCTTGACAGTGGACACATCTTATTTCTACCGTGTTATGCATAAATTGGGAGTGTATGTTTTAATAATATTTCGCTAATGATTGATCGTTTAAAAAGTTAATTTTTATATACCCTTTCCAGATAATGAAATCGTCCACACTGCACCGTGCAGCATGCTCAATCTGTTCATTTTTGGTTTTCTTACACGTGCACAGAATTAATTATTAAAAATGTTTTGTTATGTAGTCAAAACAAGCCAAACAAATTAATATATTTGATCTCTATTTATACTGTACACATATACTTTAAAAAAATTCAATAATGTGCTTAAAGGGATTTTGTCTCATTAGATCAGTAAAGTTAAAAATGGGTTCACAGTATCATTCTAGTTGTGTATTGAAGCATTGAAGCATATAACGAGAATGTGGATGGTTAGTTTCAAGTTTTCAACCTTGAGGTTGTAGGGTCAAGCCTTCCACTGTGAATTTCAATTGCTTGTACTTTAGGGCCTAAAGGAATGGTACAGTAGGAGAATAATCCATAACTCACATCATTGTGCTGAGCTGCGTGTGGGTCTACACTGCACAGCTCTCCCCATTAACAACACTTATTACTGTTGCAAAGTATGCTACAGTACAGTAAGTTCAATAGGCATTTACAAATGAAAAGGAAGCACATGGAGAGCATGATAAAATGCATTTTGCAAATCTACCACTAGTATAATCATCATAATATGATCTCTTTTTACCAAATCATTATAAACCAAAAAACAGCGGCTCAAAGCACACAAGAAGCAAAACACTAGGACACATTTAACAGTAGACAACATCATAAAAGGACATTCTTGAATTTGTCTGTTCTACAACATACTTCACATTCAAGGAACAGATTTAGCAACAAATTTTTAAAATTAGCCAAGGGATCTCAGTTCATTTGGGAGTATCTTTGGTTTTTTTTTTAAGCTTTTCTATTTTCCTTTTATTTGTATATTTATATAAGTTAAGTAGTTTTTATTTAGTTATTTATTTTATAATTAAGTTTTCATGGTACGTAAAAGGTACATATACGGCCTTGTGGAAGAGCACCAACTTGGTGAATGAGCTTCTCTTGTAAAATGAAAGATTTTATTATTATTATTATAATATTATTATTATAGACAGGCCTAGAAAAAATATTTTTGTGCCTCCAACTATGAAAGTTATCTTGATCAAATTCCTGCAGCACCAAATGCTATCTTTACACCATTATAGCTACATTTCGTGGTTTGGAGCAAGCATAAATATCAAATTTAATTACCGGTATGCATTAAATTGTGAAAAACAAAATTAAAATATTTTTTTTCTAAAATGCCTCTGGGGTAATGGTCAATGCCTCCGACCGCCGGCCGCACACTTTTTCCAGCCCTGATTATAGACCCAGTGATACAGAATGAGCACTAAACTCTGGATAGCTACCCACAGAATGGCCTAAAACTTACTTGTAAAATCTAGGTACTAGTATTTTATACTCAAGACAGACTGTCAATTTTCTCCAATATACTGTAAATCCCATATTTGAAATTTCCTTAAACTTTCATGCATCATACATTTACAATATGCCTGCTTATGAAAACCACAATTTTAAACAAGTTTTTGGTCACAAACATGCATCTTTGAGGTCTAGTTAAATGACCTCCCAGAGTTTCATACATTTAAATCAACCCTTAAAAATGCTCTGGTTTTTATAATTGTCATTTCTTATTCTCATTGTAACAAAAACATATTATTTGAAACTATGAACATTGAATTAGCTAAGGTTTCAGACTGGTTTAAGTTAAACATGTTATCATTATACATTGATCAAAACAAACTTACTTGAGTTAGTGAAACCATTTTCAACTAAATTGTATATTGTAATTGATATTTATATACAGTACCACTTTTATCAGTTAACTTTGTAATGATAAAATATATTTAAAAAGAACAACAATGAAAAATCACATATTACCTTCACCAAATCTATTCCCTGAGTTTGAAGATGTATTTGGAATGTCTGTAAACAAAAGTCAATTGAGATTAAAATATTAAATATTCTTGAAAATTAAACATGAAATAAGACTTGAGGCCTGCGTTGATCCCAGTGAGAGACGAATTAGTCTCTGACTGTATAAATTTCTAACACAGAGAAAGCATGAGTGATTCAAATGCTTATATACTTTAACAAGTCTAAAAAAAAATAAAGAAATAAAGAGTAGCCCAGGGTTTCAGGGTGTTGGTTTGTGTTGGGGGGGGGGGTAGGTGAGCGAGGCGAGCCTTATTTGGCTGGGGGAGTCAGCTGCCTAGGGGTCACCCATGGGGTGCAGGGGAGAAGCCCCTGGAAGCAACGGATATTTGACAAATTTCTATAAGTTAATTAATAGGCATCAAGCTACCATAATATGTCTTGTATGTTTTTTAATGTCGAAATTAACTTCCAAACCCGAGAAATTTTGAATAAAACAACGAGAAACAAAGAGTAAGCAATGTACTTATTTTCAAATCCATTTTACTTTTATATTATTTTAAAAAAAACCCACCATATTACAGTACAATACTATCCTCCCATCATGGCAAAATCCAGGTTTTCATAATCCATGTGATTGTGAATTATTAACAACAAAATTACGAATAAGAATAATGTCTTACTGTAAATTGTAAGGCCACCAATTTGTGACATTATACTACGATAAATTAAGAAAACACAATGTCACCTGGAACGTCACAGTACAAGCTTTTAATTCAAAGTAAAGTTATAACTTTTTGAAATTTTGCCTGAAATCTGTAAACCACGAGGTTGCTTGAGGATATCCAAACGAGCATTTGTAATAGTAGAACATAAACCATTTTTAATTAGTCCCATTGAACAGGGGCGGATCCAGAATTTTTCAAACAGGGGAGGGGCATTTGAATTCTTTTTTTTTTATTTCAATACATAACATTTTTAAAAATTGTGTCAAAACGTTGTTTTAACACTTGATACTGTTCTGATGACTTACGTTCCAATAGATGTTTGAACGTAATTAATTCATTGTGAAGAATATCTGTTGTTTCAGGGGCTTAATTCAATGTGAAAAGTAATATATACGGTAGTCGGTTAACTTACAATAAAACAGCACGTAAATGTATGTTATTATATCATTATTATTATTATTATTATTATTGTTTTTGTTACTATTGTGATAAAAAGTTAAGACAAACAGTACACAAATAGGTCAGTGAAGGCGATATAGTTGCCAAACGAACAGACATGTAAATTCTTTTTTTTTAATTTTTTTAAAATTCCCCGACGAAATGTACTCGTCTTCCCCGACGAGGGGGGCATAGCCCCAGCCCCCCTCTGGCGCCACCACTGGGTAGTATTGAAATGGAGGTCACTCAAAAAGCTCCGCACATGCAGCTTGAGCCAAGAACAAAGCTGCTGCAGAGCGTAAAGAACGTATACGCGATGCCTTTGAAGTTTAATGTGTTCACCAATGCTCCTGCAGGCTTAGTTTACCAAAAAATTAAACATGGCAAAATGGAGAGCACTCTTTTTTCAATGTCAACAGTCAATCACTATGGATGCGCAATCATTTCTATCTTGAAGCTAATATACTTACCTTTCAAGAAATACCAAACATATTAATATTGTCTACAGCAAAAAAAAGTTTCGAATTTAATGAAACATTTACATGAGCTTTAAAAGTATGGTATATTTCAACTTCAATTTCCATAAATTGGATTGTCGTCGTCATCATAGCCGTACTGTTATTAGAGCATAGCTTCTCTCACAGCAACATTGTACAAATTTCTATTCTGCGCAATCCTTGTTGCCTTCTACATCGCACTCAATAATTCTAATTTCAACAGATATTAATTAAGAAATGATTGAGGATTATAATAAATTAATTCATTTTAGGGTTAACGACTGTTAACTATTCAAAAATTCAATGCAAAGTCAGATTAACATTCAGTTTTACGCTGCCTTAATTTTATAGCTGAACCAATCGATCTTTAAACAAAATTATAATGAAGACAGAAAAAATTGTAACAGAAATATTTTGCGGAATCTGTTCCAGAAACACACATAATAACATGCTAAAAGTAAAAAAAAAAAAAAAACTATCAGGGGAACATTGTTAATTTGAAATATATTTGATGAGTTAAAATCAAACGGTTTATCTCAAATCTGCTGTGTTAAAGCATAAAAAAGCATGTCGATGCCAAGTGATTGCTAATGAAAAAAATGTTAATAATATGATAATACGCCCATCAGTGATCCAAAGGCGGGGAACACATTGGTTTGTCGCATCAAAGTGATCTGTTGCCGAGTGATCTCCTCCTCAATAGTACCTCCATGGTTTAAATAAGTATTTTCATAACATTTCAGTTTTCTACAAGAAATAATCAGTGGTGAATAAAACATCAAACTGGAATGACACAGGACAAAATCAAGCTGTTGTTGATATAAAGAAATACAGGTGTATAACCATAAAAGCAGAGACATGAACATTATGTTCCATTATGAAATGCTATTTTTTTACTATTATTTTGTACACATCCAGATACAGCATCTGTACTAAAATATTCTGAATAGAAAATTCTGCACCATCCCACAGTGAATAAATGACCACAATAACAAAAACATGAATAGAACTACAGTTTCACAGTGTCTGAATACCCACCTTTTGTTCAAATGTAAAAAGCATTGTAAATTAATGGAAATAAATGGCAAAGTAAGTTTATTTAGACAGCAATGACCAATTAAATTGTGTAGTCATAGTTATCGTTAGGCTCCATCCCTGGTTTTGCACCTGGCGTAAAGTTCAGTGAATGTATTATTTCTATTCCACCATCCAGGTTTACAAAATCCTGGAGACGCCACTGCCAGATCAACTTCTGTACTGTCCTGTATAAAAAGTATTTTCACAAATAACTATAACAAAATAATATATTAAGACGCATTATCTTACCACTTGCTTGTCCTGAATTCGATGGTGACTTTGGAATGTCTGAAATGATTCAATAACTGATTACCAGTTCATTAAATTAAGTATATATTATTTAGCCCAATTAACAATTATATTTTTACAGTGATATGAAAGCAATTTGACATGTTTAGACATGGAAGACCTATACAGTACTGTAAGTGACCTTATTTGTGATTATATATTTACAAATATAAGTCATATAAAACTAAATACAATGTTAATTATCAACTACTTTAAATCAAATCTCTAAAGGCAAAGCAGCATTCTACAAGCTATCAAGATGGGGATAATTGATGCTTCTTAAATATTCAAAATTGAAAGGGAATTTTTTTTTAAAAATAAAACACAGTAACAAATAACATGATAATATTATAAGACACCACAATAAACATTATTTATCTTACTACTTGCTTGTCCTGGGTTTGAAGATGGATTTGGAGCTGGAATGTCTGAAAAAAAAAATCAACAATTAATTACTGGTACATTAAATATCAATTTATTTATTACTTACCATAACAAAATAATTAAACTCATAAATTGGTTGCACATTTATTGACAGGAAAGCATTTTGAGATATATATTGAGAAAGTAATTTAATGCTATTCTATATGATCATTGTGTTTGATATACAAATATAAATCATAAAACACAAATAAATATCAATAAACTACAAGATCACCTCATCCATCCTAAACATAAGATTGATGTCAGTGAAAATTGTGCTGTAGTTTAAGAGATTGGATACTGTGATTCAGTATACATCAGTGAAACTGCAGCAGGAAATTGAAGACCCGATTGGAAGTACGTAAAAAAGATGTCACCAATAACACAACAGGTGTGTGCACTAGAGCATCCAGAAACACTGAAACTGAGCTCATTCACAAATCAGCTGCAGTATAACCAATCACATGGTTAAATACAACCACAGGGGTACCAAGCTAGAAAAAGTCCCTTCCATGAGATCTGGTTAAATGAACTTTCTTAACATAAATTTATTTTGCTGTGCATGGTGATACCCATCAGCACTGATGTCCAGGAGACAATTTATAGTAAATAGTAACACATGCAAATATATTATGAATTTGCGGGAAACTGGTTATTTTCCAAGAGATTCTTCCTTTGCGGAAGTGCGGGAGGCTGTCCCAATTTCCGTGAGACTCTATAACCATTATACTAACGACTGAAAAAATGCAAAACCCATTCAAACAGAATCCATCTAGCAAAACATGAAAAGAGACAATGGATTGTACTCCTGCATGGCCTAATCCCAACTCCTGAAAAACCAGACAACTGGCAGAGGGCGCTATTCAAGCCTCAATAGGGCCACTAACAATATCTACCTCACAAATACTCTCATCACACAGGAAGAAAATAGCTAGTTTACCAGAACAGTATACTGTACTGACAATCAGCACACACCAACCAATATCTAAACTACTCATCCCACCACCCTCTCAAACACAAATTAATAAGACCAAACAGTGTGTGTGTGTGTGTGTATCATCGAACACTTCAAAGTGTTTGTGAGCTCTAAAAAAACAAATGTGTCAAAGCTCAATAATAATAACAAGAGCACTCAGTAGAAAGCATATCTCCGCCCACCGCAATACCCTTTCTATAAAATAATCCTCCCAAAAAATGTTCCTAATTTAGTTTAACCACTACCACTACCACAACAACTCACTTCACTCCATTCTTCTTCAAAAAGGCACAATAACTCGCCAATCTCTTACTTTATAAAGACACTAACATGAAAGTTTCACTTAGATTAGTTTTTGAGATATCTGATCTGCAACGTTTTGCTTTGAAGGGTCCATATCTATCGACACCAAAATATAATCACTTCATTTTTCGAACACCTTCCATTGTATCAGTTGTACACCTGCCAATTCCTTAAGTGCTCTGATTTAGCATACTAGCACTTTTTACTCTTTATAGCTGACAAACAAAATGCATGCAATGTATTGGTGTTGAAATGGAAATATTATGGAAATAGAAATATGGGGATTTGATTTTTAGTGTCACATGTTAAAATGTATGGTCCTCATTTGGTCACCAAAATTTAATCACCTCATCCTTGGGTTATACTGTACCTAACAAGCCCTGTAACTGGCATTTAAACCAGTGCAGCTGTTTTTTAGATATTTTGAACACAAGAAACATGCAGGACCATAAAAATTTAAATGACCTTAAAGTTCACTCCCGAATTTGAATCGCAACCAGCACTCGACAACTTCTTGATTGTAACTTGGTTAAACCTTCACAAAATTTTCATTCATACCAGTTGATTAGTTTTTGAGATATCATGTCCAGGACGTTTGCACTAAAATCCCTTTAAATGGGCCTCACATTAAAATGTTTCAAATTTTAATGTATTCTAATTTTACTTATTAGTTTTTTCATGTCTTGTGCTAATGCTTGATTAATGTTTTTAATTTCATTATTGTCAATATCATGAAATTCAGCCTTGCTGCAATTTTGATGCTAATCAAGAAACTGAACTGAAAATGTAGCTTAAAAGTACTTCTAATGTAAAAGCCTTAAATGTTTAATGCTTTTTTCAAATTTTAATATAAATAATTTTAATGTTAACACTTTTAATTTTTCAATGTCTTACCATTATGCAAAATTTGTTGTAAATATCACTGCAAGTTTTGATATTCTAATGAAGAATAAAAAAAAGAATTTCCTTGAAAATGCTAACCTTACTATTTTACTCGTACATGCAGTAATTTGAGGGGTACCAGTTTGTCTAATTCATGCCCTGACTGTGTCCCTTGATGATAATCTGAATCTACTGTAAATCAATTTGCATTGTTTTGTGGATTCTTTGTTTACTGTACGACTTTGCCCATCTCTGACATAATCACCAATTATTATGTTGATATAAAATAATAATTAAATTAATACCTTCTTTGAAAACTTCCACAGCCTGTTGGAGTTTCAGGGTATTCAATTTCTCAATGAAAGTGTCCATATTTCCTTCACAAATTATCCTGTTGTGCTCCAAATCCATAATCAAACTCCATGTGTCTGCATACTTCTTTGGTTTGTTATACAATCCACTGATCATTTTTATGTCGTCATCAATCAGTACCATTCCAAGCTTCATAATTTTTTGTCTGTGAGGTGTGAATTTTGAGGTCATTACATCTCTAACATTTGGGAATGATGGTAGCAGGTTATCTTTGATTTCCCTTTCCAAACCATATTGCTTTGTTATGTTTATGGTATCATAGAGAATACTGAGGTATGTTGAGTGCAGATCTCCAGAAGCAATCAGCAAATTCATTAAGTCTATCACCTTAGCAGCCTTATTCAACTCAAATTTGTTTTCAAAGAGATCTCTGTACAAAACTTTGAGCATACCGATCCATCCACGCTGGTCATACCAATTCGAAAAAAATGACAACAGCTGTCTGAAAGCATCATCCGTGATTTCTACAAAAATAAAAAAGTCTCATTATTAATGTAGCTGGAAAATACCCTTTATTTACATTAAATCAAAACTTAAATAAATTATTTTTAAATTTCATTATGATCAAACAAATAAGCATCATCATCTTCATCACTGTCAATTAAATTATCATTTGTCATCATCTTCATATCAGCATCATTTTCCTATTATTTACTGTAGGTTTTTTCTTAATAAAATTATTTTTTTATTCAAAATTATGAAATGACAACAATATATGTGTTCATGTTAGAAGGTTATTTATAGGTTACTGTATTTCTATGGTTACTAACATACTTTGGAATCAAGATTGTTATAATAAGGTGATACCAAAATATTTATTTTTACTGGTAACATTGCTTTTAAGATAAAATCTTGTATTTTAAAATTTAAAGCCCTAAAAGAATAATAAAAACATTTCTGGTAATGGTATTGATAAAGAAAGCATTTGATACTAAAAATACATGTTACATTTCATCTTTCATCTCATTATTTATTTGATCCATTAAACAGTTAAATAGCAATCTGAAAAATAAGTAGACCAGGACCAACCAAAGTGAACCCCATCATTTTAGCAATACTGGTGGGCCAATCCCAAATCAAGGTGGATTCTATAGAATTGTAGCATCAATATTGGTCCTGCCAGTTTGTCCTATACTTGAGGTAGCCTAATGGTAATCGAGTGAAAGAAAGCTTGAGTCCAAGATTTTTGGTTAAAAAAGCACAAATGATCAGTATGCCTAGAATTAGCATTTATGCTATCAAGGAATAACAAGAAAGTATTCCCTTCTCACATACAATGACAGAAATGATACATCACTGGGCATAATGTTCTTTGAGAGCAAGTTGAAAATTGTCTTGATTAGTTTACCTTCCATTTTGTCTTTATTGCCTTTAACCTTTCTATTTCATATTGATCTTCCTTTCTTCATCATAACATTTCTGAAAAAAAAAACAACTTAGATACTTCAGAGATTCCAGGCTGGGATAATACTTTATATCTACATATCTATTGTACATTTTCACAACCCATGTAGGGGGGAAGAGGGTGGGCACAGGGTGCATGAAACAAAATTAGGCCTATTATGGAAATATTTTGAAGGAAATTCATATTGTTAAATATATTAAGCAAGACAAATATAAAAAACACTGCTATATATAACCATGGACCTTAAAAAATTATAGGTCCTTGATAAAAACATGTAATTTATTCAATCATGGTGAATAACACTAACACGATGAAGACATGTTTACCATCTTTAATGACAGCCAAATACAGTGGCGGATTCTGAAAGTGTCATTTCCGGCTATATTGCAATAATCCTAAACTTTCTTACCAACAAAGTTGGGGCTGACGTGATGCCTATGCGCTCTCGTTCGGTAGTCCGCAGGGCCCAAACCCATAGGATCTTCGAGCCAGCACCCTGACCTAAAGGTTGATACAAACAGCATAATATGTCTAACATCAACTGTAGGACATATAAATTTTTGAGAAAAAAATGTCTGTGAGTGCTATTTGTGGACATCTAAAGTTGCCATAATCATTAATTTTGTGACCTCAGCCCCAACCATAGTGGGGCTAAAATGGTACAGACCCTCCATCTGTGAAAGTCCCTCCGGCCCCCTCTACATTTCGAATTCCTGGATTCGCCACTCATATATTATCATGTATTAGTCGTTAAAAACATGTAGAATAAAATGAAAAAATTATTAAAAACAAGCTCATCTAAAATCCTATAATGGAATTGACTACTGGGACCCAAAAAAGGATCCTAGTCTCAGAAAGTCATAGGGCCCCCACACGGGCGTTACGCCACTGGGGCTGAGCAAATCCCTATTCCAATGAAAACTAAATGTTCATTTTTGGTATTTCAACCTACTTAGTGGAACTAATTTACTGCCATGTGGGATGTATCCGCACCTACAATCTACGCCCATGTGCTGAGGCAGTATATATTATACTGTCCCAGGTTTGGCCCCAATCTATTTTAAAATTCTGAATCCAACATTAAGATATCCAAAGCTAAAACATAGATTACAAAATATTAACTCAAACTCTTTGTTCTAGACTCCATAAGATAATTTCAAGATTAATTAACAATGACCAAAAAGGGTACATAAAAGGTCGTTCTTCTGGAGAAAATGTTCGGTTTATTAATGATATCCTCTACTACACATTAGAAGAAGAAATAGAAGGGGCTGTTCTATCGCTTGATTTTCGAAAAGCATTTGACTCTGTCAGCAGAGATTTTATGTTTAGTGTCTTAAAAAAGTTTAATTTTGGTGAGGGTTTTTGCAACTGGATCAGAACAATTTACAATAAAACAGAGTGTGTAATTGTTAATAACGGATGGATTTCTGAAAGCTTTGAAATGAATAGTGGAATAAGGCAAGGTTGCCCCTTGTCTGCTTTGCTTTTTATTTTAGTTGTAGAATGTATGGCCTGTAACATAAGAGATGATTTAGAGTATAAAGGAATACCTCTTCTGTTCGGAACAAATATTGAAGAAGCTCGTATAGCACAACTCGCAGATGATACAGTTCTGTTTGTTGGAAATAGTAATAGTATTGAAAGGGGTTTATGCATTGTTGAAAACTTTGGTAAAGTTTCAGGCATGAGACTAAATAAAAGTAAAACAAATGCAATTTGGATTGGAAAATGGAGAAAAAGATCCGACAAGCCACGAG